ATTTTTTGATTAGTGTGCTCACTATCCTTTTCTATACAGGTTATGTGAAGACCCCGGAATGTTTAAAAAATAAATTATAACTTAAGTGCAGGAGCAAAATAAATAATTAAGGTTTACATTCCTTACACATAAAGTTAAAGTCTCAAATAGTGTTATGAAAATTAACCTTTTGAAGGAAATATAAGAAAATAAGGAAATAAACAAAAAATAAATAAAACTAGTATCATACTCGCAACTGTGAAGAAGAACCGGTGAAGCCGCCGCACAGGTGACCCCCTGCCAGTAGGTTCAGTGTTTTTGGTGATTTTTCAGCCAACCAAGGCCCTTAATGTGTTTTTCAATAGGGGTACGTGTAAAACCGGATAAAACTGGTGGCGCCACTTTGCCAGAACTCCAAAATCGGCCAGAAAGAGGTGGTAAGATCAAAACTTGGCTTTAATACCAACTGTAAAGGTTTAAAATCTTAAAAGAAATGAACTTGTAATTTTAAATGTGGAAGCAAATAATAGAGTTTAGGGTTTACATTCCTTACCAATAGTTTTAAATGACCAATAGGGTTATGAGAATGTCACTTCTAAAAGACAAATGGTAATTAAAAAAAAGCAAATAAATAAATATCTTAAGACAATCTTCACTAGTACTCGAAGGGAGTTCGAGTGGTGAACTACTCACAACCCTCTTACTGATCGGGATCTGGATCTTGATCTTCGTGATATGAAATGATTAATGAAAGGGTGAGTTAATTAGTCCAATAAGAATAATCACACTAATAACAGATACAAAAAATTGAAAATTGATAAAAATCAGAAAAATAACTAATTGAGACCTTAATTTGATGTAAATTTATTTAATATAAAGAAAGTCATCTATTCTGTACTTACGTAACGAATTTTTTCCAAAAACGACATGTGAAGATTTATATTCATATCATTTTTTTATTTTCAGGCTTAAGATACCAAGAGATGATAACCTTTCCTTTTTACCTGCTTATTGGTACCCCTGGGAGTTTATAGGGATATCCCCCTATTCGTGAATCTAATATCCAATTTAAACAATTAATTGGTTGTTCCCATACCCCTTCTGGTAATGGACGCCAAACATTCCATCGCTTCAATACCCCTTCCGGTATGAGGGTGAACTATATCTCTCAAACCTTTTCGGTAAGGAGCTTCCCAGCCCCTTTCAACTGAAGTAACGTTCACGATACAGTTCCTTATGTACCAAGCTTGTTCGTCCTTTTCCTAGATTCCCAATAAATCTTTCACACAGAGATTCTCATTAATAAAATAACCAACTATGCAAACCACTATCACATATTACATTTACAGATCAATTAAACTACATTCATGCTGATAGTATATAGTCGAATAAACCAGATAAATCGATAAGATTATAGGAAATATAAATTTAGAACATATACCATATAATAACAAGCAAATAGAGTAGTACAAAAAAAAATAATTTATTTTATTTTTATTTTTATTTTATTAATTTTTTGAGAAAAAACTGAAGTAGAGACGAAATTAAAAAATAATTTTGGGGAAAAAGGGTAAAATTTTGAATCTGGGAGGTATTTTTGAAAGAAAATTTGAAAATAGGGGGTTAAATCGCAAAAAAAAGTTTGACCCGTGTAACGGTCCGATCAGTAGTCCCGACGAACCAGAGCCTGTTGCGTGGCAACCACGCTGATATCGGCACCTCGCAGGAGGCCAAGCGAGCGATCCGCGTGTCTGACGATCTGACGGTCTAGATCTAATCGCGCGCGCGTGAATGACTCAGATGTATTTCTTCTTTAGAAGTGATCAAATGTCAGATTCAATCCGATCGTGCGGTCTATATTCATTCCCCAAATAAGATATATCCAACGGACGATAGAGGGCCACATATTCCCGAACGGGCGACCCAGATTGATACGAGGAGGGTATTTAAGTATCACGTTCCAGGGAACACTAACCCTAGCCGTACCAACCTTCGATGGAGATGAGGAACTAGACGCCGGATAAGGAGGCTGACCACCGCCTCCGCTGCACCGGAGCCACCATCGGCCATCGAAAAAGGTAAAATTTTATCCTTCTCGCTCAGAATTCAATTTTGAGCCTCCCTATGGTGATATCAGAGCAAAAGGGATGGTGGGTGAGTCGAAAATTACTGGTAAAACATGGTTGAGTCCCTGCGGCCAAAATCCAAAACCCTCACTATTTTCTGTTTTATTCAATTCTTTAATCATCGTGTTCACCGTTTCTTTTTAGTGCAGGTCAGCCAAATAAGAACCCCAGCAGCGAAGGAGAACTGGCAGAGCCGCCACACCCGTAGACCCCCCGCCCCCAGTTGGTAGGTTTTAAATTTTTTATTTTTTTCATCAACTGAGACTTTCTAACGCATTTTTTTTTCATAGGGATATGTGTAAAACCAGCCAAAATCAGCCTAAATCGGCCAAAACCAACCAAGCCGAGGCGAATTGCCGCCATGGGCGGTGTCGCTGTGCCATAACCTTAAAATTTGTCGAAAAAGTTTTTCAACACCAATTTTAATTTTTTGGGGTATTTTTGAGGTACATGACAAGTATTTTAATTTTCGCAGGAAAAATTTAGAAAATTTTGGTATCGTTTAGAAGCGTAGTAGTTAGCATGACGTATCAAAA